TATCCTTAATTTAAAACAATCCAGAAGTAAAGTAAAGAAGATTCCATTTTCGATTGAAACGCTTTAAAGGCAACAAGCTGCTTTAGAAGCTGAAGAATTCGCGAGAAATCGGTTTCTTATGAAAAATGTCTTTATCAACAGTAATAGTTTTTTACAGCAACAACTGTATGCAAATACTATAAACAAATTATAAAATGCAGCCTTGATATTCCGAACATACTTCTATTAATGAGTACCAACCATCAGCTCCTGAAGCTGAAGAATTCGCGAGAGCCAAGCATAATAATAATTTTACAAAAAACATCTTTATCAACACTAATAGATTTTTGCAGCTATAACTGTTTTCAAATACTATAAACATAATTATAAAATAAGTCCAGTTTCAGAATCTGAAGAATTGAATTGAAGAATGAATCAAAATAACATTTTTTAAACATATTTTGTATTACTGAGTATCTTCAAGTCACATCCCTCGATGACAAGTTTCCTTTGGTTTCCTTTTCTAATTTCTTGTCGCACTTCGGTCGTTGTCTTGGCTACTCTAGTCCGGTGTTCTGTAAGTGGCATGAACATCGCTGCATTTTCTTGACAATTTCTCAGCTTTTTTCTGCTGATATTCCCTGCTTTTTGAGTGCTTTCAATTGTTGCACAATTTTTTAATTTGCTGCGTGGCCAAAGAAATGAAAGAGTTGCCGTCGCACAGGGAATTTTAATCTAAAGTGGGTGGCGCATAAGACAGCACACAGTATTTTCACATTTTAAGCATTTACAGACTTTCCCATACATGTTGTTGTGGATTTGTAGATTGACGAACTCTAAGCCAGACCCTTAGCTATTGCTAAGCCAATTAAATCGACATTTGATCACAAAATCCCGTATATTTGAACTGTAATATAAGCATTCAATTAACCTCAAATGAGCACACAATTTTCACATATTTTGCCCGCACTTGAATGCCAAACAACGTCATAATAACTCAGTTGGCCACAAAACAAAACAAAACAAACTTACCATGTTGTTTGTGTGCAATATTCTACATTCGAATTGTGAGGCTCTTGAGTAAATTGCAATTTAATTTTATGCAATTTGCCGTAAGGCTTAATGATTACATTGTATTGAAGCATAATGTCCTTAGGTCTACTAATAAGCCTAATCCCAAATGCTGGTGCTATTATAATTCAAAATAAGCTAAACATCAAAAGCAGTTTGTCAATGTAAAACGACAATGCTCAAATACCCTTAAGGTATTTGCTTTTAACTTGTAAGTGAATAAATGTCTTTATTTTATAATAAGTAGTTGAAAAATTAGTTGTTGAAGCAGTTTTAAATTGTTATTTGAGGCAGTGTTAAATGGTTTTTTCTAGTGGAATGGCAAGTCCGTTCTCTTAGTACATATGCCAAACTAAGTAGTTCCTTCGCATTAAATACCAAAATGTAATAAGCATTAAATTTCATTGCAACCTGCAGCACCAAGGACAGAATACGAAAGATGACATCCAGTTGCAATTACAATGTAATTACAAGCGACAGACGGAGAACGTTTTAAATTTTGTATGTGCCCGGCAAATGTTGGAATCTCCAGAAAGGATTAGGCACCATGAGGATGTGGATGTGGATGAGGATGCGTTCCATTTAAGCAGCAGCTTATGCCATAAACATGCGATATGACCTGGCTCTCAATGTCTGCCATAAAATGACGCTTAAAGTGTGGCACGTAATTGCTGATACCCTTGTCTTTCTGCTCCCCTAATGGCCGCAAGTTGTATGATTTTAATTAGAATTAGGATTCTAAGCCGGTCTTTTGATTCTTTAAGCGCCCTCAACATGAGCTCGGTAAATACAGGTGGCTAAGTCGTCGCAGATATCCGGAGATGTTTGGCAGTCCAAGCTTGCTAGTGGCTGTAAATTAATTTCCTGGTTAGCAATTGCAGCAATTGCAGTTTCCAGGCCCAATTATTGGCAAACTTGCTGCAATGCATAAATTTCGATTCGCACACCGGCCGAATCCAGAAATCAATGATTAATTTTCTGTGGTGTTCTGTTCTATATTAGTTGGCGTCTGAGGAGTATAAGTCTACAGGGGCCTATGGTGAGTAAGGCAATATATTTACGCACATTGTAGGTTTTGGTTTGAATTACCAATACATATTTTTAATTAATTTAAAATAATAATAGGGCCTAATTGAAATAATACATTGACAATTATTTTATGGACACCTTATTAACAGGCTTTCGGTGGGCTATGTATTTAGCATGAAGGTGTCTAAAAGTATGCAACAATATATTTTGTAATAGGAAGTATGACCGATGCATTTCGAGTTAAAATAATAATAGGGCCTAAAATTTATTTATATATTGGCAATTATTTTATGTACACCAACTAACACGCTCTCTCTGGGCTTTGCATTTTGTATAAAGGTGTCTAAATGTATGCAACAAAATGTTTTTTAAGTTAGGAGGTATGACTGATGAATTTCAAGGAACAACTTTTTGTTGTTGCATACTTTTAGGCACATTTATCATTAAATTTTATAATATTTTACACATTAAAAATTTCAACTAAATTTTAATCTCCAAGCTTCAGGCACCTTTAAGTACCAACATACATTCCATTTAAAGGATTTTCCACCGAAATGCTACCAGAAGAACGAGACACTCATCCTGCTGTACCAATTGATAAAAACATGGCTGGCAGACAACGCCCCGATCATTAAAAAACAAGAATGTGTGACATTTTGTCAGGCATAATAATAAAATTACAATTGCAGCTCGGCGACAAACAAGCCGGGGGAAAAAGTGCCAAATCAGCGAAAAAAAAACTGTGGGGCGTCTCTTAAGGAAATGTCAAATCAAATTTATTGACTTTCATTGTTCGTCGAAATGGAGGCAGTGACTCCTTGCTGGAATCTCGGGCTCATTGAAATGTGAAAAGCCAATGACAGGGGACGAAGGGCTAACAATGTGCACCTTTTTTCCTGTCGCAGGATCCTCTGTCTGGATTCGACTTGTGGCACTTGTCGATTTGTCCTGCACATTTCCCATTCCGAATCCGTGTTTGTGCGCGATTAAAGCGCCGCTTAGCACGTTTCAATAGCTTTTCCCCGACTTTACCTCCGCCATCTCGGATTCTCTGATTTTCAGAGACAATCACCAGAGCATTCTTCTCATACTCCATTCACCATTACGATTTTTACACTGAAAATTAAATATCTTTTGTATTTTACTTACTAAATCATGTGCAATGATTTTTTAAAAATAATTATACATACTCGTACTTCATTTACCTAAACAGCAAACAATAATGACTTTTTTGGTGTCTTAATTAATTGGAATTAAGAAATTATTGATTCAAAATCATAATTACAGCTTAAAAAATAAATTCAATAATGAATAGTGGTCTCAAAAAGTACTATTCTTATTTAGAGAAATAGAGAAATAAATAATTAACACGAAATAATAGTACTACATGGGTAATGTCCATTTAAAATATTATAAAAAGCTGTAATTATGAGCTCTTTATAGATTCTTAATAATTACCTATATTTTTTCTCAGTGTATTCTCGCTTGATTTCCAACAACTTTGCACAATGCCTGCTGGCAGAGCTATAAAAATCATATGCTTCCCTTCATAGCAAGGGGTTGGCTTTACTTTTTTGCAGCTTCGTCTATATAACTCTGACTTCTTTGTGCCCAGCTTAGTTTGACAATTATTTGCATTGTTCAGTGAAGTCGTTTGTTCAACATGCACATGAATCGGTAACTACAACATAAGTGAGTCCCTGGTTATAGTTCACAATCGGACAAGTTGGGTTTGTTAGGCAGCCGACTCTATTGTGCACTGTCCATTGAATTTGTCGGTTGGCGTATAGTTACGAAGAGCCAATCCGGAGTATAAAAAGTGGCCAAGGGATGAAATCGAGTAGCGTTCAATTGCGTGAAATTACTAGGTCAATGATGCAGTCATGGATCTAGTGATACATATTTACCAAAAAGCTTTAATCCCATGGCAAAAATTGAACAATTTTCTGAATTAAACCAAAGTATGCTACAAAAAAATTTTAGGAAAAATAGGATTACCCAATATAAACTTAAAATAAAAATTCTAAGTTAAAGAAAAACACGTAAAACTTATTGAATTCGTTATGATAATTTTTCTTTTATACAATTTATACACCGCAGGGCAGGAATTCTTATAGATTTATTTTCACATTCGTTTCAGATTTCAAAGCAACAGTTCCTGCAATATTCAAGGAAATCACTTTATAAAGTCAGCCGCTCTCTGGTTTCCGCAACCAATTTTCTTCACACGAATATGCAAAATAAATGTTCTTCGCTTGACCCGAAAGCCTGTTGCCTTTTGTCATTTGAAATTCCGGACAGGATGAGAAAGCGGCCTGTTGCCAAAAAACGAAAGGAGTTCTTTTAGGCGAACAAATTTTTTTTTGTGCTGCCTCTCTATTTTAAATGGCTCTTTTCGTTTCCGGTTACGTTTGAGTTGCCTGCACGTAAATTTCGTGCCATTTTGTGCAAGAGAATTCGGGGGCTCAACTGCTTCACTCATGTTGGCGGTAAATTTTAGTACAATGCATATATAATCTTTTTCACTTATCTTTGCATAGTTTCCCTTTGCTGCAGCCGAAAAACTTTTTACGGTCTGAGGTTAAAAGTGGCGTCATACATTTCCAGCACCCCCAACCATCCGCATCCACATCCACCCACTGTATAGTTCGAGATTCGCGGCGCGTTGAGAGCTATGTAATGAATGAAAAGTTGGCTGGGAGTTGCAAAAGGTTGTGGCTGCAAAAAGGTGCGCAGGCATCGCAATTTCTGCTGAATGGCTTGGTTTAGTTTTTGTACTTGTCGACAATCTTGTGACAGATTTATGGGTTAATTATTGTGAATGGTGCTGTGGGAATGGAGGATAAAAAAGGTGAAAAACTAGAAACCCATCCATTTGATTACACGTACATATGTAGCACTGAAAATCTTGTTAGTCAGAAATTGAACAAATTTTGGAATGTTATCATAAATTTTGTAAAAAATAAAATATGCAAAGTCTTTGTATTGCTTTAAAGGTAAGAGATCTTAACTAAAAGGAATTATGTTATAACGCTTGCCGTTTCGTTCCAGTTTAAGTGATATCATATATTAAAAAATGGACAAAGCACACTCTTCGAAAATTCCAATAAAAGCGAAGAGAACTGAATTGCTTGATAAACTTTCCTCCGATGACAATGATCTTGAGGGCTATGATCTGTATATGGGCATCTGGGAATTAAGCGTTAGCCTTGGTAACTTCAACCACAATGTGGACGAATCTGTGAAATTTATAACTGAAAATAATTCGACTACGAACGACTCATTTGAGCTGATCCTGCTCAATGATTTTCGGATGAAATTCGAAGAATTGCAAGATGGTGCGGATTCTGAGGAGAAGACTCTTCACGAGGCTCGCAGCGATCTCTTTATGCGTCTTTATAAGGAACTGGTTGACATAGAACAGGAACCATTAAGACGCGAGTACTTGAATCTCTGCTATGAACTCTTTGACTCCGTCCACCCAAAACTAGGAGACCGAAAAAAGTCATATGCCTATCGATTGGAACTCATAGATCGTTTGCATGCTCAGGTTCAAAACATATTGCGTCGTCTTAATGGAACTTCAGATGTCGACAGAATATCCTCTGATTCCCTTATTAATATCTGTCTGGGATCGAAGACATCCCAAAATGAAGCCTTAGATGTATTAAATAGAGAAATCTCTAATCTAGTAAAAGAAGTCAAGTCTGAGAAAATCATAGAAAAAAGAAAATTAGAGTCAAGCCGAATAGAAGGTTATCAATTGATTGAGGATTGCATGGTTATGACTACGTGCTTTTCAAAAAGCTTCAGGATTGAAAGCGAAGTCCCTCAGATTACTAATCGAACAATAATTCCCGGACCGGAAGATTTAGTCGCCAAAGAAAGAACTTCTAGTAAATGTCTGAAAAATTATACCTTGATAGGTTCTGAGGAAATTCCTATGCTTGATTTAAGTAATCTAAGTGAACCACATTACAATGCTTCCGATAAATCTATATTAATAAAGGATCAATCAAATTTTGATATTGAAAATTCTATCAATTCTCCTATAGACAATTTTAATAAAATTTCCATTAGTGATTTGGGAAGCCTTTCTCAGAATAACTATTCAAAAGATTCCCCTGATATTGGTAATGATATAGAAGTTGCAAGAAATGTTAAAAGTCGTGTTGCTGTTACCAAAATGGCGGAGTCAACAGAACCGCTTCATGAAAAAGGATTAGATGATTTCAATAGTCAAAGAAGAAGAAATGATCCACTGTCTTTCATTTTGAAAGATTCAATTTCGGAAAAACCAAAGGAATATAAGCATCTCTTTGACAAAGCAGTTATCTCGGATAGTAAGGAAGTTAAAGATGCTGTATCTCTGAATGTTCCTAAGAACGATTCTGTTTCTACGATTTGTCTGGATGAAGATGTAAGCTCAGATAGCATGAAGACTAAAAAGATTTGTATGTTGATCATTAAAGAAGCTGTTTCTCCAAGTCCTTTGGAAATCAAAACATGTATTCCTAAGAAGGATGATTTTAATAAGGAAGTTATTTTGGATGGTAAGAAAGTGAAGGATGTACAAGATCTGAATGTTTCTGGAAACGATACTTTATCTACGAACTGTTTGGATAAAAATGTCACCTCAGATGAAATGGAGAGTAAAGATATTTGTACGTCGATCATTGAGGAAGCTGACCCACCAAATGATTTTAAGAACGAAACTTTTAGTGTCTGTAGTGATGATTATATTGAAATGCTTGACGACAAGTCTGCAGCAAGAATTATCTCAAGCCGCGACAAGCCCGATACCTCTAAATGGAGTCCATTAAGTTCTCATATTCCTTTAAAAAGGACTATCAAAAGGTCTCTGCCGCTTTCTTATGATACTTCTGATTTTCATTTGGAGGAAGGTACTACTAAAGGTGATCATAAAGTTCATGGTAGCCTAGATAAGATGAAACATTTTTATGAAGATTATAAGAATAAACTTGATTCTATTACTGAAATAGAAGATAAAATTGACTCGAAAATCGATTTATGTGAAGATATCTATGAAAATGTCAAGTCGCCCAATAATGACTTAAGATCGGACCAAGTGGGTTTTTCGGACGGAATTTTAAGTCAACTGAAGCAAACTGTAAGTGATATAAAGCTAAACGTTTTAAAGGAAGTTGATAGGTCTCTGGAATTAACGTTGCAAAATGGAATATCTGGCGTTCTATCGAGGAAACCGTCTTTGGAAAAAGCAGGAAATGCGTCAAAAAAGTTTGGGAGAAATTCTAAATTTACTGACGGGCTTCGTTTAAAATTTCATAGAAAAATATCCCCAAAACTAATTAAGGAACACCAAAAGAAAGAGGAAGATGGGAAATTGCTTTCACCTATAATGAGTCCAACAAAAAAGTTAAATAGTTGTCTCGAGATTTCTGAAAATTACCATACTGCTGAATGTCCTACCAATACGAAAAGAAAACGTGATGACGTGATAATAGGCGATTGCCCAAAAACAGTTGAATGCAATTGTTATGAAACTGAAGATACAAATGCTACTTTGTGTAGCAGTGATATCCGAGAGGAATGTTATTCGTTAGTGGATGATTGGTTTTTGGAACCAGCGGAAAAATCACATACATTTTTCGCTGAAGAGGACGATCAAGAAATGCTACCACCAAAATCAAGTCAAGTTACTAAAATAGATGAGCCTTTGAGCGCGTTTTTAGATGAAAATTGTTCCACTGAAGTCTGTAATAATAATAATTCGGAAGTTTTAAAGCCTCCCTCAGATAATTTGAGCATTGACTTCTCTGACGAACGCTATTTAGTAAAAAATGATATTGGTAGTAATTTAACATCAGAAAAATCAGTGGAAAAATTCTATGAATTTTCCACTGATGAGGATGGTCAAGAAATGCCTTTACTAAAATCCAGTTATATTATTAAAATAGATAAGTCTTTGACCGAGTTTTCACATAAAACTTGTTGCACTGAAACCTGTATTAACAATCCGCAAGATTCAAAATCTTCTTCGAATTTTTTAGGATATGATACATCTGACGAATGCTGTTTGGAAGAAAATTATATTGAAGGTAATTTATCATCAACCAAATCAACTGAGAAATCAAACGAATTGTCCGCTGATGAGGAGGGTCAAAAAAAGCTTTCAATCCAACCAAATCAATCTACTAAAATAGATAAGTCTTTGTCCGATTTTTTATTTACAAATTGTGACACTGTAGCCTGTACTAGTAATCAAGATAATTTAGTATATCCTTTACATAATTTACACATTGATATCTCTGACGAATGCTATTTGGAAAGAAATGACTTGAGCTCTATCTTACCACCGGAAGAAAGAAATGCTTTTATCGCTGAAGAGGACCATAAGTATACGCTTTCTCCAATATTGACAAATACTTCACAAACCGACATTAAACAGCCCAACGAAGTGGATACGTCTTTGACCGAACTTTCAAGAAAAAGTTACCCATGTGAAGAGAGCGATAATAATAAAAGAAACAGTAAAAACCTAAATTTAGATTTAAAGGATATAAAATCGTCATCGAATACTATATGCATTGACATCTCTGAGGAATACTTGGATCAAAATTTTAAGCAAGAAAGTGGATTTTTCGATGAACATGAAAATCAGGAAATGCTTTCACCAATATTAAGTAAAATTAAAAAAACCGTGAGTGACGTCAAGCTCAACGTTTTAAAGGAAGTGGATAAATCCCTATCAGAATTGACTTTAAAAAGTGTCTCTAGTCTTTTACAAAGAAATCAAACCGAAGAAAATTATAAAAACGAGTCGAAAAGTCTGGAAATTAATAAAGCCTGTAGAAATTTAACCGAGGAAAGTAATATCTCCTTTGACATATCTGAGGAAAGTGACGTTGGGCAAAGCCTTAGAAGGGACGTACATACATCTTTATCGGAATCGACCTTAAGAAGTACTTCTGAAGTTTTACCTAGAAATCGCTCCTATGAAGATTTTCAGAACATGTCGCCAAATTCGGTATTTAGTTTTAACTCTGGAGAGGGTAATTCCATCATTGATTTATGTAAGAAATGCGATATTAAGGTAAACTACTCAAAGACGTTGGATAAATACATTGCTGATGGCTTAAGTATACAAAAAAGAAGATTCAGTGAAATGGCTAGCAACAATGGTTCAGGTGATTTGAATGTATGTTCTAAAACAATTGAGTTTCAAAATTGGAACAAAATGTTATCTAAATGGCAGCATCAACGGCATATTATTGCTGCACCTCGTGTCATAATCAAAATCTTTAAATCGAACTCGGCATATAAGTGTTCCTCTGATGATCCAAATGCTCCGGATTTCTATGAGCAATTGGATCAATTTTTTGAGATTACGGGTGAGAAGTGTTGCCCTGCCCTTGACATAGATGTAGCTTCGATTGAATCCCGGATAATAGAGATACTTAAAAAAACCAGGAAGGTAGTTCCCAGAAAAATAAGCTACTCCGATTGGGTGGCTTTGCTGGGCAAATTCAATTTAAGGCAGTTTCTGTCACGTGAGGAGAGAGACACTTACGAATCCTTGCGATGGCAACTTAGGGATACGGGTGATGAGGATATATCCGCAAAGTCTCGATTCACCGATGCTCTCCACGGAATGATGGGTTACGGATCGCCGCATTTGAAGGTATCATCTGTAACTGGCAGGCTGCAACTGCGTTCGCCCCATCATCAGGATAGCCTCAGTGAGTCCTATTTGCTGCTCGTAATTGGCCACCTGGGGTACTTCTATCGAGAGTTGGGGAACCACCTGGATATACTTGGCCAACGGGGGGAAACTGCTGCTGCTCTCCGAAAATGTCTGCAAAGTTACCTCTTAGATTTTAAACTGTTCTATAAGAGACAAAAAAAGGATCCCTGCAGTTTACTTAGTTTGTACCGAAACACTCGAGAGCATCAGGTGGAATTTCAGTGGCTTCTGGCTGTTATGCAAAACATTCAGAATGAAAAGTCCATTATAGTTTCACTGTATGAGCAATCGCGCCGAAGATGCGGATATCAAAGAAGTTTATTGCTAATGTGGCTAAAAGTGGCAAGCCAACCAATGATATTCAGGCTTCAACAATGGCTTCTTAGCGGTCACCTTAATTCTTTTGATTGCGATGAGTTTCCCATCGAACGCTGTATAACATCGGATCATAGTGAGTTTTGGCAGAAACGCTATCGAATTACAGATAATTTTTCTGGGCTATTTGGACCTCAGCTTAGTGAAACTCTGATTGGCGTGGGCAAAACCATGGCATACTCACAAAATTATTTGGGTATGGAGGTGGAATCTTGTCTGAAAAGCAAAGAAGTACGTGAAATGTTGCTAGACAAATTCAATCACTTCTATAAATATGCCGATCAGGAACCACTCTGCAATTTTCTTAGCAATCTGCACTCGGAAATTTCCGGCAAGGTCCTAAGATGTCTTCGGGAAATAAAGTACAATCCAAAGTATCTCTTTTCTCAGCTCTACAAGTACATAATGTTAGCGGATGTGGAGTTCATCAGAGATTTTATAAATCATTTCGAGGAGTTTCTCGAAAAACCGGAGAGTTCCTTCAATATCCAGCTTTTCAACGAAATAAAAGATAATATGTTACGCAAGCCCATCTCGGATATCTATATAGATAAGGGCTTCACCGAAGGATCAAGGTGTTGGTCATGTCTTGTCCTGCGCTGGAAGTTTCCGAAATACTGGACTGCTCTACTCGGCGAGGATGCTGAGGCATATGAACCTATCTCTATGGCCATCTGGAGATTCCATTATGTAGACTACGTGCTCTTGGAAAGAATACTTCATCAACAGGAGCAAATTCTCAATCGCTTCGACTTCGAATATTTCGAGGGCCTGGAAGAAACACACAAATGTTTTGCCAAGCTGATCAAGAATTGTCTGGAACTAATGAATGTTCTAAGGCATTATTTCTTCAAGGATTTATTAGAGCCGGCCTTCGAAAGGCTTTTATTAGCCTGCAACCAGGCTAACACTCTCGAAGATATACTAGATGCAAATAGAATATATCTAAAGTCCATAAAACGGGGCTGCCTGCAAACGAAAAGACTTCGAAAATCGAATCAGTATCTAGAGCGACTTTATAATTTTATACTCAAGCTAGATGATAATCTGCAAAAGTTCTTGAAATCATGTAAATCTTTGAAAGAGTATGTGCTAAATATTCAATTGCATAAAGCACATAGTTTGGTTTCCACTTCATTTAGGGATCGCATGCTGACCTTTCGTTTGACCTGTCAAAACTGCTCGTATGTCATAAACGAGTTAAGAGATCAATTTATTTCGGGATTGATCCGCTTTTTACTGAGTCTGCATTTAGCAAATGAAGATTCATTAAGGCTGCTTGCTTTAAGTTTGGATCCCAAAGGCTATTATAAGAGAAAAGACAATAGATTGAGCCAGGTGCAATTATTCGAGTTCAAAAGAAAGGCGAGAAAAAGCAGCTGAGATAAAAGTACTTGACAATCCTCTAAGCCATGAGTATACATTTCTTTATATTTTTTTGTAACAGTAGAGATTACTGGCTTTTGTAAAATGTATAAAATCCTTTCCATATGTCGTGCATGTAATTTAGATTAATCTCTAAATTTATCTAATAAAACGGCAACACATTCTTACGTTTTGTGTTTCTTTTAATTATTTTACGTCTTTAAGATATTAGCATTTTTTATTGCCATTAAATGATGAAGAAATTCACATAGACTGGTATGAGGTTTTTCTTTTGAGAAGCTGCTTATTTAAAAATAAAAGCCACAATCACATTTAACTCCTCTCTCAAGTTTTAATTCATTTAGCAAAAAGATAAACGCCTTTTTTGACGCTTTGTCTATATATAAATTGGATTTTAATTGGAAATTAAGAATCGACTTAGCAATGTTTGCATTGTGCAGCAACTGGAGAAGTCCTTTGTCATGCAAATGTTCTGTATATTGTGGTCCCGTGTGAATAGGGACAGAATGGGAGGGATAGAATCCGCACGACTGTGTGGGTTCGTTTAAATTAAAGAAAATAATGGAAAATTTACTTTTTGGCTTAAGCTTTGGCCAAATGGAATTTGGCTTCATTTGAATTGTAATGGCTGGGCGAAAATTAAATCAAGTTCGGGTCTTCACTTTTCATATTTTTATTAACAAGTTATGCCAACACTTTTCTAACAGCTCTCATCTGCATAACTTAATTTCCCGAGAATCCGCATGGAAATATCTTTGTGCCCGAATCTCTGCCAAGAAATGAACAATGGCAAAAGGATGGCCCAGTCTTGAGCTCTTTTGTTATCTGACAAACACAGCTGGCAGGCATCTCGGCAGTTCCTCCACATATCAGCGAGTGAGCCGGATGAATTATAAGGCACTGCCGCCTTCAAAATGAAAGGAAGAAAAAATGTCAAGAAGATAATTGTGCCCAGGCAGAAGGCATTTAATAAACTTGATTGGAAGGACAGGAAGGAGTGACACTCGGGGAAGGTTGACAAGGTCCTGACATGAGTTCGCTTTGAGAAAAGTTAACTGGCTGACTGGCTCGACTGATGATTAGGGAAATTAATTTCATAGGAAACTGCCTGCCTCCGATGCATTTTTCTTGATAAGCGAGCAATTTATTGTTTGTGCTGATGTGCGGGACATATTTCATTTTATAATTTGTATACTTGGAGAACATTAAATTTGAAAATACCAAATTTTATAATTTTGTCTTGCCGATAACAATGCCTCAACCTAACTTAATAATTTTTCATTTGTCAGATTTATGAAAGGGAATATTTTGGTGTTTAGTAAAATACTATTCCAGTACTTTTGTTAGTATTAGATTAATTTTTTGAAGAGGGAAACTTTCTTTTTAATGTATTATTGTTATTACTGTAAATTTATTTTGGGTTAATATTATTTTTTTTTACCAAGAAATTATATTTTAGAAACTTTTATGTTCATTATCAACGATGCCATATTTCGGTTTAATATTATTTTAGGTGTGGGCTGAGTTTGAAAGAGTTTTTTAAAAAAACGTACATTTCTTTGGATGCCCAAGTCATTTAAAAAAATGTATCTAATTAACAAATAATAGTTCTGATCAAATCAGTTTGTTATACTGTTTTTCACACTTCTTTTTATTGTAATTAATGGAAAACCAATATCAACGACCATTTTATCTTTGACCTATCAGCGAGCTTGTGCGCCCCGTCAAATTAAACTATAAATTTATTATTATGCCCGTTGACATACTTGAACTGTTCTAGGCAATAAATTCCATTACAAAGTTGCCATTTTGCCATCACAACAGCTCTCCGCACCCCAGTCAATGTTATTGACAATTTGTTGTCAGTTTTTCTCGCCCAAACACGAAGCAATTTATGTGGCCGGGTCTGGGGGCTTTATGAAATACTTCTCATTATGGGGGGGAAATGTTGGAAACGGTCAGCGGCCGATGGCTGGAACATATTCGAACTATTTTCATTTCAATTGCAAACGGTTTGGCGCAGAGAAATCAATTGAATTGCCATTTCACATATGAAATGGTCATTTGTCAATGGACAACAATTGGAGGGCGTGGTCGCAGCTGGTTTGGATGGTGGATACTGGATGCGGTCAGTCAAAATGGCCGCATAAATATGTCCTTCTCGTCCTGTGTGCGAACGATCTTCTGGCACTCGCCCTTCATTCCCATTTCGATGGCTAAATTGTTGGTCGTTATTAAATTTCCGCTGCGTTGAGTTCTCATTTCCGTTTCAATGGCCAATGCAGCTGACCGTCGTTGAATGCTCAACGGATGTTGGCCTGGGACATAGATATATATACGATATATATATATACCAGTTGTCCCACACACACGTGGTCTATATAAATATTTTCGGTTCTAGATGGATAAACAAAAGGGTTGGCTTGCGTAATATTCGATTATTGTTTTTATTATAATTTTTAAGAGCATATACAACAATCCCCATTTATCCAGCATTTGTTGTGGCGATCAAAAATTGATTCTACAATTGTAATGCCTGTTAGTGGGCATATACATATATGTATATGTGTATGCGGCTTTTTAGCCAAATTGAAACTAATTGAAATATGTGGATTGCAGGAAACAGCGAGAAGAGGAAAGTGGGCAAAACTTTAGCCATAAATTTCAATAAAACGCCATTTTTGGTATTTTCCTTTATTCCAGCTGTAGTTTCCCCTATGTGTGCTATACGTTTTATTGGCATTACGTATACGCAGTGACCTCATTTATTGTTTCGTGGGCATAAGTTTACATTATGTTTTTGATGAGTGCTGTGTAGTTTTTGCATTAGGAAATTCGTATGTCTCTTTTTGCATAAAAAAATGAGATATATGTACTAATTTACGCGTTTAATTAGATGGAAAATTTCTTAAAAGTTAAGTTACCCTAAAACACCATTATATATTATGGCTTATAATGAAAATATAATGCAATGCCCATCAAAGGGACTTTGTTCCCTCCATCCCAGGGGTCTCTTTTTATTGTCGGCTTTTTGCCCGTTTTGGCTGCTGTGTCCTGACCAAAAAAAAGAAATAAATAACAAAATTATTCAAAATTATGGGCCGACTCTCCACCTCCCATTTTCGACTTAACCCTTGTGTGGGCGTACGTCTTATTCGCCACCCTTACGCTTTTATACTTAACCAAGTTTTTATTAAACCCAGCCGCGGCCGTTACAAAGTAAAATCTTAGAAAATGCATTAAAAAGGCGCTAAGTAAATATTAAAATTTCTGTCAGGGGCGAAACGTGTTACAGCGAGTTAAAAGAGCGAGCTTAGGCCATTTTATTATTATTATTATTATTTCCTCGACTAAACAAAGCCAGTTAATGGCTTCAGCTGCCGGACAATGGTTGTTTATTTATGCCCTGCGCTAATGGACAGCGCGGAATCGCTGAAAGAGTTCGCTTCCGTGGATATTATTTATTATCGCCGCCACCGCTGCTGCGCACAATAAATGTAATATTTATTCATTTATTTATTGATTTATGGCATGGCATTTAAATCAAAATCAACGCAAGAATGCTAAACATTTTATCAATTTGATAAGCCTATTTATTATGATGTTTTCACTTTTCATCGCTGGAGTGGCTTCGCCCCCGCTTTGATAAAATTTATGCCTTTACTGACCACAAAAGATTCATCTTCATTTCATCTGTCCAAGCTACAACTACAGGGTTCCCTCGTTCTCCCAGCTCCCAACCACCCATGCTTGATTAGTTGATGACACTCTGTGCGAAAGACAGAGCCCTGAAACTGCCTTATAAATGCCTATGTATATACGTACACTTGAAGAAAATATAAACAAAAGTGGGGCTTTTGTAAATTTTCTAAAGTTTATAATTATTTTATACATTTTTTTTTATTATAAAAAGATTATTATGAATTTTAATTTTTAAATTTAAAAGATTTCTCTAGAAACGTTTAATATTGTTATCAAATTTTGCTAGGATTTTCGATAGTCATTTTTGCCATGCTTTTTTAAAAAAATTTCTGATAAAAAGTTGCTTGATATTTTGCTAAGGCTGTTACTCTGCTTTTCGCCAGTATTTTGGTAGGTTTTATTGCCATTCTTATTTTAAGATTTTATGGAGACTTGTTTCAGGGAGAATTTTTAGAATGGATATTATTAATACGTCAAAAAAAGAACAAATTTAACCTATTGCTCTGGAAATGTTTAATATTGTTGTTATCAAATTTCGCTATGGTTTTCGATAGTCATTCGGCCATGCTTTGCTAGTTTTTTTAACAGTTTTTTTTTCATGATTTCTGACAAAAAATGGATTTATATTCTTCGAGGATTTTTACTCAGCTTTTCGCCAGGCTTTTTGTTAGACTTTTTGCCATTCTTATTTTAAGATGTTTAATATATTTTGGGTTATTGTTTTGGTAGGCTTTTTTCGAGACTATTTTAAACGTTTTTTGGTGGGCTCTTTTCCCAGGCTGTTGCCTTTGCAAGTGTTTCTGCGGGTCTTTTTGCAAGGCTTATAAATAATTTTTATCAGGCTTAGGGCTTTTTGATAAGCTTTTTGTAAGGATATTTACTGGGCACAATTTTTTGCACTTTTCTAACCAAAAATGTTTTTTTAAGAATATTTAGAAAGGGTAACGGTTTGTTTATCTCTGAGTGTATGTGTATACATATGCGAATTTTCCCTATCCACAACTTGAGCAAGGCGATATGTCTCGCTCTGCGGTGCTTGTGGCTAATTTGATAAATATGCACGCGTTTATTCAAATCAATCAGAGTCAGACGACGACGGGACCCTTTGAAGGAGGTGAATGGAGAGGACAAGTCATCGGCAGCGTCTTCACTCGACTTCCCACCGCCTCTGATTATCTCCACTCCTCCATTCACTGTGCATCTTGTGGCATATAAATTTCAGCTGCCTTCCCCCGAGCACACATATAATCATCCGCACACACAAGCTACTCTCTTTGGAGATTTCATTAATGTGCGGTTAACTATAATGAGCCTGGTATATGGAAGCACACCACGGGGGGTTTTCTGGTTAAGTTGGGCTAACTGAAATCTTTTACGGTATCAGTGGGTTCTTAAATGGGCCAAT